AGAGATCGATTAAAGATAGGTGTAAGATATGGCGAAATAACATCGCCGTAATATCGAATAAGCCGACTAGATACTTTACCAAGGCCGCTGCCCTTAAACGTATTGAGTTTATTTGATAATGTTAAAACCTGTCTGTCATTAGTAGGACGGAATTGAAAGCTTTTGTCAATGCCGTTAATATATTTCTGATAGCTGGTACAATTGCCGTTTGATAAAGGAATTTCATTAGCAAGTTTAGGTCTGATTGATGAAAAGTGATCGTTGAAAGCATTTGACAAATCGGGAGCATTAATTATCGAACTTCAGATTCTTAATTCATAATTAATAGATGACTTGTCAGACTTACGCGAGGTAAGCTCATCGATCAATTGCCAAGTCTTACCAGGATCATCGTCAGTGTCAATAAACTTATATCTACTAGTCGTAGCTTTCGCTAAGTGCTAACGAAAGAAAAAGAATTTGCCTACATCACCGGTTTTAGTTCCTATCTTTATAAAACCATTTCACACGGTGAGGCGATAATTTCCGCTACAAGCACTCCTCGTTCCTACATTTCTGCCATGCTCTTGGCCTTCAAATTGCTCTTATTCTTCTGCTTAGACATTTGGAACCTTAAACTTGTCGAGTTTCAAACAGCGAAAGGGAAATAACCGACATTTATAGGTTAGAGCGGACTTGAAATAGCGAGTTGTAGTTCGTACAAGTACAGTAGTGTGGCAGAGAACAATGGCCTAGCTTTGAAGGTTTGTTTACAACAAAGGTCATCAAAAGTCTCGTGAAACTACAAGTGAAATCTAACGCCACTAAAATCCCCAGGGAATCTGCACCTTACATTTTTCTGGCGGTCTCGCAAGCCGACCGTCTTCGCTTTGCTTGCTCGTTGGCAATAACATAATTCTTTGGCTGATTTAATATCGGTGTTTACTTTATTGCGTATTCTCCTGACGTTTGCCCAATCATGCGGATTGTTGGACTTAATGGCATGTGCATGCGTTGTTGTTTTAAATCTATAGAAATCCGAGGGGGGGGGGGGGGGGGGGAAAGGAAATAAACCAAAACCCGGGCCGGGGGGCCGTGGGGGGGGGGGGGGAGGGGCCGGCATGGGTTTTTTTTTTTTTTTTGGTTTGAAAAAAAAAAACAACCAACGTTGATTTTTTTTTTTTCCTTTTTTTTCATAGAAGAGGAGCCGAACAGTGGTGTTTTAGGGTGTGGGGGAGGCTTGATTATCCACACCCTATGCTCTGGTTGGGTGTCGC